CTAATTAGCATATTATGCTGTTATTATTATAGATTATCTATGCTCTCAAAGTTACTTGCATTTATTATTTTGTATGGTTGGAAAAACCGTGTAACCGTTACCTTATGTGTGTCCCTTCCTAACTCCATGTTTAATGGTGTCACATTTCTAGCCTGAAATAGGTCATGGTAGAAGTGTTTGCACCATGGAAACTGGCAATGCTACCAATCAGATGCACCTCTCAGAGCCATCTGTTAGACACTTACCAACACAACACTCCTTTAATTCGTTGAAAGCTTTGGTTAGTGCTTGTAGGCCATCCAAAGCCTGAAGCTCTAGGTATAGTTGACAATGCAGCTTCTGGAATCAGATTCTGCAAATTTGAATTTGAGCTTCACTTCTTACTGTGTGACATTGGACAAATTACTGACCCTTTCTGTGGATCTGTAAAATGAGAATAAATAAAAGACTACATATCCCATAGTATTGTTTTGAATAAATAATACCTACCACAGTATATATTATGATTATTTTAATTTAGATACATTTTTAAATTATGACATGGAAGCCTATTTCTAGTCCTGTTATACTAATGATTTTTAAAATCAGATATCACTGTTGAGTTTTATCAAATGCCTTAACAGCTCATTGAGTAGATGTTTTTCATCTTTGACATATTAATATGGTGAGTTATATTAGTAGGATTCCTAATTTAAGAAAAACCTTAAGTTCCTGAAATGAATTTCACTTGGTCATCTCGCACTATTCTTTGAATTCTGGAAGGATTCCATTTGCTTATAATTTATTTTGCCTATTTCATTATTAATTATTAATAATTATCTTGGTTACACTTTTCATTTGTATACTTTTTCAGGTTTTGGTACCAATGGTTTGATGACTTTGTAGTCAGGAAACTTATTTTTTTCTGTTCTTATAAATAGTTTCAGTAGCCTTCAAAAATATCTCATTGCTACAAAATTAGAAAGAACTCATGAAACTATCAGGGCCTGGAGCTCTTTGTCAACTTTCTCCAGTTTGATAGTTCTCAAACTTGGCTGTGCATTGGGATCATCTGGGGAGATTTTTAAACTACTGATGCCTGAGTCTCTCTGAATACATTCTGTTTTGATTAGTCTTGTAGGCAGTCTGGGCATGGAAATGTTTTAAAATTCTTCAAGTGACTATAGTATGAAGCCAAGGTTCAGAACTGCATTTCTTTCATTTCTCTCAGGATATTAGTTTAATTTGGTTTCTACATTTTCTTTAATGAATTTTAGTGATTTTGATCTACCTAGAAAGTTATCTTTACTTCTAGACTTTCAAATTGATTGTCATGGGGTTTTGCAGAGGACTGTTGCATAATTATTTTTATTTTCTTTGTGGCTGTGATTATTTCACTTTTTTTATTTGTTCTTTTTATTGAATTTATTGGGGTAACATAAGTTAATAGCATTATATAATTTTCAGGTCTACAACATCTGTATACTCTCTTGTGTATAGAAGTTTAGTTTCCTTCCGTTACCATGTATTTGATCCTCTTTACCCACTTCCCCCTGCCCCCTGACCATTTTCACTTTTGGTAACCACTAATCTGTCATCTGTATCTCTGAGTTTGTTTTTGTTTGTTGTTAGTTTGCTCATTTTTGTTTTCTATTCCACATATGTGTGAAATCATACAATTTCTGTCCTTTCCATCTGACTTATTTCACTTAGCATAATGGTTTCAAGGTCCATCCATGTTATTACAAATGACAATATTTTGTCTTTTTTATGGCTGAGTAGCATTCCATTGTATGTGTAATCATCTGTAATTATCCAATCATCTGTCAATTGACACTAAGGTTTACACTTTTTAAAATTTGTTTTTTTAATTGATTTTAGAGAGAGGAAGGAAGAGGGAGAGAGAGGTAGAAACATCAATGATGAGAGAGAATCATTGATTGGCTGCCTCCTGCATGTCCCCTACTGGGGATGAACCTCGAAACTGAAGCATGTGCCCTGACGGGGAATTGAACCATCACTTCCTGGTTCATGGGCCGATGCTCAACCACTGAGCCACACTAGCTGGGCACACACTTTTTTATTTCTAATGTGTACATTAGAAATTTCTTCCCCCACCTGTTATTCATTTATTTATTAAATATGTTTTTATTGATTTCAGAGAGGAAGGGAGAGGGAGAGAGAGATAGAAACATCAATGATGAGAGAGAATCATTGATCGGCTGCCTCCTGCATGCCCCATGCTGGGGACCAAGCCTGCAACCCAGGCATGTACCCTGACCTGGAATTGAACCATGACCTCCTGGTTCATAGGTTGATGCTCGAACACTGAGCCATGTCGACCCAGTCCCCCACCTGTTATTGTTGTTATTAGATAAATAGTTTATTTTATTGGCTTTTTCAAAGGGCCAATTCTTGGCTTTATTTATTAACTCTACTCTTTTTCTGGTTCTGTATTTAACAATTTCTCCTATTTATATATTTAATAATTTCTCCTATTTACATATTTTCCCTGTCTGGTCTTCCTTAAGTTAATTTTGTTTATCTTCTAACCTCTTGATTTATTTCATTTTTATTTATTTCATTTATTACTATTCCTTTTTGTTAAATAATAAAAGTATTTTAGGCTATTAACTTTTCTTTTAACAAATATCTGTGTGTAGTATTTATTAGTATATACTACTTTTATTACCAGTTTTCTTAGATCAGGGGTGGGGAATGTCCGGCCTGTGGGGATTTAAGGCCCAAGAAATCATATGGTCTGGTCCTACCAAGGCATTAGGGGTGAGTTAATTAAATATTTGACCAAATATAGCAGGATAATTTTGTTGTTGTTGATCCTCACCTGAGGATATTTTTCCATTGATTTTTAGAGAGAGTGAGAGGGGGAAAGAGAGAGAAACATTGATATGAGAGAAACACATTGATTGGTTGCCCCCTGCACATGCCCTGACCAGGGCCCGGGCCAGGGAGGAGCCTTATAGTAGGCTAATTTTTAAGTCGATAATTATGTATGGCTAGTGAATGCTGTTATAAATATCCAAATGACCTTTGGCAGGAAAAGGTTTCCCATCCCTATCTTACTTAGAAAGTCTGTAATTGCAATTTTAGTTTCCTTTTTGATTGAACAGTTATTTTCAGAGAGCTTTTTGTTATACTGATTTTCAAGTAGATAAGGTTATTTTTATAATGATGACTAGTTTTATTGTTGTCACAGAATTGCTTCTGTATTAGTGGGATAATTCTTTTAAAACATCTGCTTGATCTTAATTGAATATGTGTAACACCAGGCACTTTTAAAAGGAAACACAACTGATATATTCAATATAATAAACAGGAAAATATGTGGCACTGTCATTCCACCCCAGGCAGACTGATCTTTTAGTTTGAGCTGTCTTCTTGGAAAGGAAATGCTTGGGACTCAGTGCACCAGAATCCCAGGTGTGTGATCAGGACTAAAGCTCTTTTCATTGCTTCCTTACATGCTTCTGACAGAAGCAAGTCCACTCTAAGATCGTTACATTAAACAAAAGTCAGCAAACTTTTTCTGTAAAAGGCCAAGTTGGTAAATATTTTAGGCTTTGTGTGTTGGGTTACTAATATTGCATGGAACATATTTATAATAAAAAAGTATTCATTGTTTGCAAATAACATTTAAATGGGCATGTTATATTTTTATTTGCTAAATCTGAAAACAATATTTGCAGGCTATGTAGTCCTTGTGACAACTACTTAGCTCTGCTGTTGAAGTGGGAAAGCAAACAGACAATACACAAGCAAATGGGTGTGACTATGTTCCAATTAAACTTCATTAAAATAGTCAATGGGCTATATTTGCCTTGAGGGCCATAGTTTTCAACAATTAATGTGCATCAGAAACATGGTGGGATTGCTGGGCCCCAGCCCCAGAGTTTATGATTCCGTAGATTTAGGATAAAGCCCAACGATTTGTGTTTCTATCAAGTTGCCAGGTGACATGGCTATTGCTGGTCTGTGGACCACACTTTGAGTACCACTGCATTAGGAAAAAATAACTATTACTTTTTTATTCCTAACCCACTTAGAGGAACATAAACATATTTCTTATTATCTAATTAGGGCTTCATCAATCCTATGAGACAAAAATTTTAAGTGCTGAAATTGAAATATTCACATGGCCAGATCTTCCTGACCAGCAGGGCTTCCCTAAGACATATGGGCTAATTACAAAAAGTTACTCTCTCTCAGGGAATGATTAGAAAAATCACCACTTCCACTGAATTTACACAGCCCCTCACCAAGGTAAGGTGCACAGCTTGGTAGATTGAGCACAGGCTGGATCTCAGCATTCACTCTCCCTTCAGGAGTCTTTGTGCAGTGCACAAACTACATGACACTCCTAGTGGCTCTGCTGACCAGAAAATATTATCTACAGTTTATCAAAACAACACATTCTAAATTTAAAATATTCAGTGAGAGTCTACATTTTTTCTTGAAGTAAAAAACAAAACAATATTTTTTCCACTTGGATGTGACAGACTTTCCCCCACAGCTTTATTGGGGTATAATTGACAACATTGTAAGATATTTAAAGTATACAATGTGATGATAAATAATATTCCTAAGAAAAATTCCATACACAAACTGACCCCGATACTCTTTTTCTCATACCTCAAGGGGAGAAAATAAGCATACTTTTAAGAAATTTTCTGTATACAGAAATTTAAGCACTTTAATGCCTATAAGTGTGGTGAATATAGTCTGCACTGCTTGGCTTTTTGGAATTCATTTAAGTTTTCTTTATGTCAACACTCTAATCTATCAACAGTATTTTGCAAATATTTCATGACCCTTCAAAAGGGTACATTCCCTCTATGGCGGTAATAGAGTTTGAAATATATCTGCCCACAACAGTGCTTACTCATGTGGGAGTTTACTGAAATGTGTACTTTCTTGTTAATATTATCCATCCTATATAATAAAAGGCTAATATGCAAATAGACCAAATGGTGGAACTACCGACAATTGAACAACCAGTCGCTATGACGTGCGTTGACCACCAGGGGGCGTGTGTGGAACATTGAGGGCGTCAGCAGCAGTCAGCATAGCACAGAACATGGTGGGCATTGGCTGTAGCGGGATGGTGGACTGGGTGAGTGGGGGTGCCAGACCAAGGTAGGGCACCGGTCACTGTCATTGGAGCGAGCCTCTGGTGGTTACTGAAAATTCTTTGCTCTCATGCACCCTGGTCCCGCCTGGTGCTCATACCTGCTGCCAACGCCGACCCCACTTGCACCTGCTGCCAGCACTGGAGTCGTTGCTTGCTCCCACTGCCGGCACCTGGCGTTGGTCCCGATCACTCGGCGCTGTCAGTGAGTGCAAGTGGCAGCTGCCGGCCCTGATCGCCCCTCAGGGCTTTTCCACCTCCCCCAGCTCCTGAGGGCTGATTGGGGCAGCAGCCGCTGCTTGCATCTGCTGACAGTGCCCGCCTCACTTGCACCCGCTCCTGACACCGGCCCCAGTTGCTCCACGCTGTCAGCAGGTGCGAATGGGGCCAGCACCGTCAGCGTGTGGGAGCACCAGCAGCAGCAGCAGCGGTAGAGGGGCTGCCAGCAGACAGAGGACTGGGGGCTGGCCGCAGTGGGAGGGGCCCAGGAGGGGTGCGGAGGATAGGCCGAGACCCACCCCTGTACCTATTGCAGCCTCGTGGCCCACAGTTCCTTTCAAAGTGCACAATTTCATGCACTGGGCCTCTAGTATAGTACAGTGGGGCCTTGACTTACGAGTGTCCTGACTAACGAGTTTTTTGAGATACCAGCTGTCTCTCGGCTGATTTTTTGCATTGAGTTGATAGAGTAATTTGAGCTCAATCTCGGAACGAATTAAACTCGTAAGTCAAGGCCCCACTGTATAAGAATTCTCTATATTGTTACTTATCCCTCTGACCTAATGACTTGGGATATACACTGAGTGGCCAGATTATTAAGACCACCTGATGTTTGTAGGCAAATTAGCCATACACTGTATCAAATGGGATATGGAAGCTGAAGGCCTGTTCGAACACCTTTGCTGTCTGCAGTTACCAAGATAAAACGTCTCCAATTTGCACAGGAACACAAAGATTGGACAGTTGAGCATTGGAAAAAAGTCATGTGGTCCGATGAATCGCGTTTCCAGTTGCATCATGCAGATGGCAGAGTGAGAATTTGGTGAAAACAGCATGAAAGCATGCACCCCACATGCATGAGTACAACCCTTCAAGCTGGTGGGGGCAGTGTTATGGTTTGGGGCATGTTTTCCTGGCATGATTTGGGCCCTTTAATTCGTGTGGAACAACGTCTGAATAGCACAACATACCTAAGGATCGTTGCTGATCAAGTTCATCCTATCATGTTGATGGCGTATCCCAATGGAGATGGCTTCTTCCAACAAGACAATGCGCCATGCCACGGTGCTCGTATTGTGCAGGAGTGGTTTCAAGAACATGAGGGAGACTTTACCTTGTTTAGGTGGCCCCCACAATCACCAGATCTCAATCCAATTGAACGTTTGTGGGATGAAGTTAAAAGAGCCATCAGGCAGTTGGTTCCACAACCATCAAATCTCACAGAACTGGACAGTGCTATTCATCAGGCATGGTGTCAGATTCCTCATATCACCTTTCAACATCTCGTGGGGTCAATGCCAAGAAGAATCGCCGCAGTATTGAAGGCAAAAGGTGGCCCAACGAAGTACTGATGGGGTGGTCATAATAATCTGGCCACTCAGTATATATGTGTGTGTATATATATATATATATATATATATATATATATATCCCACGTTCAAAGGCTGTTAAATCAAGTTGTTTACCCATATCTTCAGAAAAAAAAAATCACTTCTGCTGTTGTGGTAAACAACCTGCTTCCCTATTTATAATGGTCTGGCCCTCTAGCAACTTCAGCGCGAAACTATAGCTAATTTCCCTATTAATGTCAGGTGGTCATAATAATCTGGCCACTCAGTGTAGTATGATCCCCATGAGATCATGGAAGAAGTTCTTATGAATGACTTTATATTCTTGGCCCCCAGCACAATACATGGATCATAGTAGGTACTCAGTTAGTAAATGAATAAACTATTTGGGGCTGTAAAGTGGGGTGGAATGCAATTGTTCTCAGTTCTCCCTTCAAATAAGAAATGAATTTTTATCCTTTTTACTTTCTCACTGTCGGACTTGTAGCAGACTCCCTAACCTGGAATCAGCTGTAATTGCCGAATTTCTTCCTGAAGATACACTTCTCCCCAACATTTAATTTCCTGTGGCAGATTCTGTTCAGGCCTTGTGTTGGTCTTAAACATAGAAAAATAATTACTAAAAATATATGAACTAAAATATTGACATGGTTTCTCTCTGGGTGATTCTTTATACTTATTTATTTTTGCTTTTGCTTTTTGGTATTTTCCAGATGTTCTATAATGAGCAGGTATTACTTTCATAGTTAACAGAACAAAGAAAACTTATAATTAGAAATACCTGTCATTTTTCTCTCTGATATTTCCACTCTCGGGTTTAAGTTCTACTCATTGAGATTACATGGCAAAAGTAATTCTCTCTTCTAGATAGAAAACCTATTAACATTTAAAGGGACCTCTAGGATTCTCTCTGAAACTTCCCTTTAAAGTTTCCTTCAAAATTTGTCACATGGTTCCTAGATCCTTCACTATCTTGTTTGTCTCTGAACATAATCCCTTTCATGGATAATCATTTAAAATAGAGCTCCCAGACTGGATACAATATTTCATATACAGCCTAATCAAAAGTACAATAGAACCTCCCATAGTTCATAATATTGTTCCATTACTGCAGACTATAATAGCCTGACATTTTCAGTGCCCACAACACTGCTGACTCATGTGGGAGTTTACTGAAATTCCTGTCCTTTTCATTCCTTTGCCCCCAATCTGTTTTTATACAAGTAGGTAGCACTTATACACAGCTTTCTCACCTGTAAGTTTCCTGTCCTCCCTCCTCAAGCAGGCCCGATGGTGGAACTAAGGAACGAAGCACAGTGACAGAGTTTATCCTAGTGGGCTTTGAGCAGAGCTCCCTTTCCATTCAGGATTTGCTCATTGCCCTCTTTCTAGTCCTCTACAAGCCTGGCCATGGCCATGAAGGGCCTCATCATTTTCATGGCCTGGACAGACCCTGTCTTAGCCCCAAGTATATCTTCCTTGGCCACCTATCCTTCCTGCTTCATCACCACCCCCACACCACAGATGCTGGTCCACCTGGTGGTCAAGAATCATACTCTCTCCTTTGCCACTTACTTGACCCAAATGTATCTGGTTATTGGTGTGGGTGTAGCTGAGGGCATCCTCTTGGCTGTTATGACCTATGATTGTTATGTTGCTATCTGCTATGCACTTAGTTATGCCCAGATCATGAGCTAGCAGGTCTGCGTGAAACTGGTGAGTACTGCCTGGTTCTTTGGGCTGATCAATGGTATACTGCTTGATTATATGACATTTCATGGCCCATTTTGTAGAGACAACTACATAAAAAACCTTTTCTTGTGGAGATCCCTCTGTTTAATCTGAAGATGATCTTTGCCTATGCCATCATGGTGCTGTGCAGCCCAGTGGCGCTCACTGTCATCTCCTATGCCCGCATCCTGACCTCCATCCTTGGCAGAGCCTCCTCCTTAGGTCAGGGGAAGACCTTCTTTTACTTGCACCTCCCATCTAACTGTGGTCATCTTTTTCTACACCTTGGCCATGTTCTCTTACATGAAACCCCACCGCACACACAACCTTGACAAAGACAAGTTTTTCTCCCTCCTCTACACCATCACAACCCCCATGTGCAACCCCATCATCTATGATTTTTGAAACAAGGAAAAGAAGGGGGCCATGGTGAGGGCCTTTGGGAGGACCAGCCTGACCCAGGCAGAGTCTGTCTAGCTGGAAGACCCTGGAGGGGAAACTCCCTCCTTTAGCCCTGACAGGAGGGTAACTCTCCAATGCTGAAAGGCTCCAAGAAAGGACATTCATAGCTTCCTTTCTGCTAGCATCAGACCTGGAAGAACCTATTGATGTCTAATGCTCCTCTACCTGATTTCATTTCAAGCATTGTTTTCTCTTGGACTTTCCTCGGGAGAATTTGATAATTTCCTGAGGTTTTTTCTTCTTCTAAGTTCTCCAATAGGATCTGATAAATACATAAGTGCACTTAATTCCATTTCACTGTATTTGGATAGTACTTTGACATGCTATTCCCAGCCTGCATTTTGCATATACATTTAGGAGTAGACTTTTTTTCTCTTTTAATTTATCACTTCAGTCTGCTTTTCTTTCTCACATCCAATCTCATATTCTGAATATTCTCTCATCTACCCTGCTCCTATATGAGAAAAATAGGGGAAGAACTAAGAAAAAGAGAATTAGGGGACAGACTTGACATTAAGAAAGGTCAGTTAGAGAAAAGAAGAAAAAGAAAAACTAAGGGTCACCAGCTTGAAGTCTATCTTCTTGCCCTCCACTAGCCCTTGAGAGAGAATTTGTGGCAGCATTAAATTGCCAACATTGCATTCAACTTATTTATGCTTGTGTGTTGTTTGGGGAAGGGCAAGTGGGAGAGGCCAGTGTGTCTAAATCCTTTAGTTTCTTTAAGTAAAGTAATTTATTTATGCTTGATATTTCCCTTTACATCCAAGTGTTAAGTGCCTCTAACAAGCTTCTCAGACTACCTGTTTCCCTGTTATTCATACCCCAAATTAACTCCCCTCTCCCTATTGCCTTCCTTTTGCTCAATCATCTTTCATGTCATCCCAACTCAATTCTATCCCACCTTACCTCCTCATCTTAAATGGATCCATTTCATTCCCTGTACTTTAAAGAATATCTCTCTACGTGACCTCCAGCATTGAAGAAGCCTATCTATTTGCAGCCCTGACCTCTCTGGTTTCCTCTAGCTTCTCTCCTTAACCAAACCTAGCATCCCTTCAGGGAGTATTACGTTCTTAGCTGTTCTCTTTCTTTGAAAACTACATCTTTCTCATGCGCCTTTCAAAAACAGTTAGGAAAGAAAAGGGAATAGTCCTGTTCTTTATTTTCTGGCACCACTTCCATAAGATGAATGCACCTCATTTAGGATGCCCTCAAATAGATGTACTACGCTATCCGCATCCTCATATCACATACTACCCTCTGCAATGACTTAAAGCAGTACCTTTATTCCACAAAGCTTTATCTTTTGAGTCCAAATTGGTGAATCTCTAGATATCAGAGGATATGTGAGGAACAGAGTTGACATTAAGTTGATTTCTTAGAGAGGTGGAAGAAATGAGACATCACTGTAATTGAGAAGAAACAATAAGCACAGAACCTAAAGATTTCCATTATCCAAGAAAAATTACACCAGGCAAGGTTAAATAGGCAAGAAAGGCTTAAGACTATTGCAATAGGAGATTGAACTCAACTCTGCTGGGGAAATTTTTAGAGCTCTGTGTGTGTGTGGGGGGGGGGGGGGGGGGGGGTTCTTAGGCCACCTGTGTGTGATGACTGATCTTACCTAAAGGAAAAGTAAGTTCACAGGAGGTTGTTTCAAAATTTGGAGAAAGGTGCCCACTGAAGTTAGGCTCTCACCCTCCCACAGAGACTAGGGAATTGGCGTGCTATCTTCCTTGAGGATTACATTTCAAAGGAATGGTCCCCAGTCCTTGAGAAAGACATTCCCTGGGTCTCAAAACTAGTAAGAGGCTTTTAAGGAGACTTGTATACATTTCAAAGGATCATAGAAAGGATTTGCAATGACTGTGTAAGTAAATGCTCTGAGGAAAGGGAGGTCAGGAGCCCATAGTCAAGAAACCACCTGCCTGAAGTTTAGTCACATGGAAAGGAGGATGTTACTAAGAACTTGGTCACCATGGAGAACCAAAGAGGTGCTTACTCTTGCCCCTTGGATCTCAGCTTCTTCTTCAAGATTGAAAATTCCTGTCTCAACGAGCCTTTAAAAGAAAAAGGTGAAGAAAGAAAAAGAGAGTATAGGAAAAGGAGAAGAGGTGCTCTTTAAAAAGTTTTATGAGAAATAATTTCATAGCATACATTTGCCAGGCTTTGTTTTATGTTGGCATCATGAACAAGACACAGGTCTAACTTTAAGCTCCAAGTCTAATAGAGTAGACAAAGACAACCGTAATACTAAGGCAAATGTTATGAGGCCTACACAAAGTACATGGGGGGGGGGGGGGAGATAATGACAGCAGCTTACATTTATTAAACACTTACGTTCTAACAGCTTTACATTTAATCGTAACAAAACCCTCCAAGTACTAACATCACCTTCATTTTGAGATGCAAAACTGAGGCTCACAGAGGCATTTCAAAGGGCACCGCTGCAATTCTAACTGGGGCACCCGTTCCAAACCTGGCACTCCTAAGGAGGTAATCGAATAACTGCCCCGAAAAATGGGGCCGGCTTTGTACCGATAAGGTGATATTAGAACCAAGCCTTAAAGAATAAGCAGTGAATTGTAAGGTGGAAAATTGGGGAATAGGGTTTAGAAGCCGGGGACGAGAACTGCCTGGTTCGTCCTTAAAATGTTGCATTCGAGGTGGATGGTGGTGGAGGAGAGGGGGTGAATAGGGACGGGGGTGCTGGAAAATCAGGCTTTGTGACCTACAACTTCTCAAGGGCGAGCACTTTCTGGTTCAAGGTCCTGGACTCCCGCCATACAGGAACGGACGCGGGGGCGGGGCGGGGGGTAGGAGTGGGGGGTGTCAGCTCGCGCAGGGGAAGCCGCTGCCCTGGACGCGTCTCCCTTGCCCCAGCAGCTGCCCCTGTTCCAGGCCCCGGGAGGTACGCAAAGAGCCCACAAGGGTGGGAAAACCCATGCAATAAAAAACTGGAAGCTACCCTGAAAGGCGCGTCCCTTCGCAGTCCCTTTTCATTCCCACGATCCGAGCTACCAAACTACCCAAGAGGCGGTGGGCCCTGACCCAGTTACAACCCGGGGAGGAGGGGACGCTGTCTGCGCTAGGCATCTGCGGCCAATCAGCCTTGCACGGCCTCTCGGATCACCGCCGTGGCAACCAATGGGAGCCTTCTCCTTGGCCGCCCCGCCCGGCCCGGGCGGAATGCGCTAACCCGACCACCTCAGGGAAACCAGCTATTTTGGGAGACTGGGCAGTCCCCCTCCCCCGTGGCAGAGCGGACACCGGGCTTGGGATCCCCCCCGCCCCTCCCCCCGGAGTGGAATTGTTGAAATGCCCGGCCCCTTTGGCGGAGGATGGGATGGGATGGGGCGGAGCAAGGCTGGAGGCCAGCCTGAGCAGAGATCTTGCCAATCACATCGAGTCACCATAGCTCCCACCCTTGTCTACGGATCCCTGGCCTAGCTCTTTCCAGGAGACAGCGCCCCTTACAGCGAATTATGTAATTGTTGGGCTCCTCTTCCCTCTTTCGGATAACAGAATGTCCCTTGAGCTTCCCTACCGCCCCCTGCCGGTTATGCACTCCACAAAGCCTTCCTGGACCCCTTCCCCTTTCTGGGTTCTTTGAGTTCCCTTCAGAACCTGTGGGTTGTCCTACCACTGTGTACTCTTGTTACTCCTCTGTCTTCCCCACTAGTTCGTTTCATCTTTTAGTCCTTAGCACAGTATCTGGCCATAGGAGGCGCTGTAGCGCTACTTCTTTAATGAAGCCTTAAACCAAATAAAAGCAAAACTGTTCCCTTAGAAGAGGAGAGGGAGTGTCCAGAGCCCTGAACCCTCAAGGAAGCCCTTGAGGAACCTATTATTAGTGACTTCAGCAGAAATACTGAGTTTAAATATATAGAAATATAGTTTACCCAGGACATAAAAATTAAACATGTAGAGCCTGTAGGAGCACTCTTAAAAATCTCATCTTTTTGGACTTCCAATCTTATTTTTATTTTCCAGTCTAAAGACCTAGATATCTGTTTGCCTCTTCAGGTTAATTCCTTACCCTCTTCATCTAGCTCTGGGCTTGAGAGGCTGACCTGCATGGATCATGTTAACAGATTCCCTTATCTCTGGCCTTCTGTTGGGTTCCATCAATGAGTAGCATTGGCCAAAGATCAAAAGGCAGGAGTAGTATGAGGTTGGGTACTTAATTCTCTGTTTCTTTCCCTGTGGGGGTTGTGGCAAGCTCACTTGCGTCCCTTTAGCTAAGATCTCAGCTCCTGTCAGCTGGCCCTCTTTGCCTAATTCTCCTAAGTATTTCTAAGTTCTGGAACCACCATCTCCCATTACCTGTGTTTGGAAGGTGTGAGACCAGACTCTAGGGTTACCACAGCCCAGGTCAAAATTATGGGAAATGAACCCAACCTAGGATAGTTCTCTCTGTCTAAGTTCTGGAACCACCATCTCCTAAGACCTTTTCAGGCTTAGTTTCTATAACATGAGATTTAGGGTAGTGTATTCCTGGTGTGATTTTCCTACCCCCTGCCCACACCTTTGTAAAGAATCCTTTGTTAAACTCTCCTCAAACTATCCTAATTTGAGCATGCCATCTGTTTCCTGGGAATATCCTTAGACAGGACATTCTCTGTTACTGAGGTAATGGAAACGGTTATCTCAGATGGAATCGTTTGGAAGGCTACATGATGTAGGAGAAAGAGCACCGGCTTTCAAGTTAGACAAAACTATGTCTCATGTCATTCATTCATTTGGCAAAAGTTCCACAATCCAATTAGCTGTGGTGGACATTTTAGAGAATGTGACGGCACACAGCCCATTCTCCAAGAAACCTCTTCTCCTACGACAGGGGTGAACCCTGGCAACCAAGTTAGTACCATGAGATGCCACCCTCCACCACCACCACAATCAATGCAGGTAAGCTGGATCAATTAAGTCCTCTTTCCTGGGAATATGGAATTGGTATGCAGTGGGGGTAGTCATTCCTGGGCTGGAACAGGCAGACACTCAAGCTATGGAGCAGT